TGCCCAGGCGGGTCTCGAACCCGCGGGCTCAGGCAATCCACTCACCTCAGCCTCCCAAGGGCGCAGGATTACAGGCTGAGCCACCGAGCCCAGCTAATCCAGTCTAATTTCAATGGGCAGTAAACATGGGTGCGCAGGTGTCATTTTTGTAGAATGTTTTGTGTTCCTCCAGGTATATTCCCAGGAGAGGAACTGCTAGATCATATGGAAAGTCAATTTCTATATTCCTGGATTATCTTAAATCTGTGGTTTCTTTGCAAAAATATTTTATGTCACTTACTTATTTTGTGAGCACTAATTTAGTTAAAACTACACAAATAGAATCATGACATCATTTTCCAAGCTCCCACAGCATGGTGAAAGCTGACCAGTAGCAAATGAGGGCATCCCAAGTCCTCTGTGCTACACAATTCCTCACTCTTCCCTCAGGTAGCCGTGGATATGCACCTGACCACAGACCCAGGAACTAATCCATATATTACACTGGACTGAAGTTTTATCTCTTTTTAAGAATAAAAACAGAGTAAGTTGGGCACGGTGGCTCATGCCTATAATCCCAGCACTTTGGGAGGTAGAGGTGAGAGGACTACTTGAGTCTAGGGGTTCAAGACCAGCCTGGGCAACTTGGCGAGATCTCGTCTCTACAATAAATTTTTTTCAAAAAATTAGGTGGGCATGGTGGTGCGTACCTGTAGTTCCAGCTACTTGAAAGACTGAGGCGGAAGGATTGCCTGAACCCAGCAGGTGGAGGTTGCAAAGGCCATGAGCATGCCACTGCACTCCAGCCTGGGCAACAGAGTGAGAGGGCAACTCAAAAAAAAAAGGTTTTATCTCTTTTTAAAAATAAAAATAGAGTAGGCTGGGCGTGGTAAGTCACAACTGTAACCTCAGCACTTTGAGAGGCCGAGGTGGGAGGATTGCTTGAGTCCAGGAGTTCAAGGCCAGCCCAGGCAATATAGTGATACCTCGTCTCTACTAAAAAATTAAAAAATAAGCTGGGCGAAGTGGCGTGCACCAGTAGTCCCAGCTACTCAGGAGACTAAAGCAGGAAGATCACTTGAGCCCAGGAGGTCGAGGCTGCATTGAGCCATAACTGTGCTACTGTACTCCACACTGGGTGACAGAGTAAGACCCTGGCTCAAAAAGCTCATAATCATGATGACTGATTATTCACAAGCATGTGTGAAATGCACCATGCTCAAACATCATTACGACATTGGCATGTTACCTGCCTGACAATGGAAAAAAAAGAATAAAAACAGAATACATGGAAGCTCTAATTTTAAGTACAACAAAAGCTTTTCATAAGTAAAATGTTTCCTTCCTGCACACTGATAGTCTTGTGCATTTCCAGAGTGTATGAACCCCACTCGGGAAGCACTGGTTGAAGGTTCAGACAAAAGTGTATGTGAAACCCTGTATTTCACCGTATTACCACAGCTGAAATGATTTCCAAAGGCCATGGGAACTCTGCCCCAATGTCTGGAGTGGCAACATGAGCCCAAGAAAACAAAGCGTTTCTTTGAAATCCACACGTGCCTATACTTAAGCAATACCTCCCCCCTTGTAATAAATCTGAACGAGGCAAGCACAGGCCGCCCTACGATGGCAAGGAGGTTTCGGATTATGTGCCAACTGTAGGTGGTTGGTGGCACCTGCCTGGAAAGTTCTGCTGAGCAGATGCCAAGGCTATGTCCAGGGAAATGAAGCAAGCCGACCAGTAGCAATGCTGCGACTGGTCCATGTGCCCGCTGCCACCACCACCACGCTAAACACATCTCAGTCACACAACTTCCTCACGCTGCCCAGTGTCTGCTGCTCAGGTTTCACATGGAGCTTCCAGAACACCAGGTTTGAGGGCACCTGCTCATCGGGGGTACTCAAGCTTAGAAGCAAAGGGGGGCCCAGGCGGGATACTTAATGAGAGAACACAATGACACAACGGAGTCAGATGGAACAAACGCCCTTCTCGATGGCTCGATGGCTCTCTCTAACGTGGGAACCCCTCCCAGGATGTTTTTCTCTCCTACACAGCCATGGGCTGCTACAGAGCAGCAGGGAAGTGGGTTCTAGTCAGCTGTGAGAGTTGGGTTGGCACTTTTTTTAAGTGGGGGTAGGGTGTTGGCTAGGCTCGAGTGCAGTGGCATGATCAAGGCTCACCGCAGCCTCGACCTCTCAGGTTCAGGCAATCCTCCTGCCTTAGCCTCCCGAGTAGCTGAGACTACAGGCATACACCACCACACCCGGCTAATTTTTTAATTATTTTGTAGAGACAAGTTACTACTATGTTGCCAGGCTGGTCTCCAACATCCGGGCTCAAGCAGTCCTCCTGCCTCAGCCACCCAAAGTGCTGGAATTGCAGATGTGAGTCACTGCACCTCGCCTCCTCTTCTTTTTTCTAAATTCCCTTTTCTGTCCATCCTCAAGTTTCCTATAACTACAATAGAAAAGTGGACCCTGATTGTAAGAGATGTAAACCAGGATGCCAGAAAATTGCAAACACATTTTAAGAGATGTTATCTACATATGACTTTTTGTTCGCTGTAATCAAAAGTGTCTGGACGCTGGTGGTAACCAATCTGAGCACCTCTTGTAATTGCAGAAGTCAAACGCGACTGGTATTCATCTTTTGTTACCGGTATATGCATACATATGCATTTTAAGAAAGGAAAAACTGTATTGAAATTGCAATAATATATACCGATAACAAAAGATGAATACCAGTCACATTTGACTTCTGCAATTACAAGAGGTACTCAGAGTGGTTATTACCATCAGCATCCAGACACTTCTGATTACGGTGAACTAAAAGTCATACACAGATAACATCTCTTGAATATGTAAGCATTTCTTTGGCACCCCTGGTATGTTGGCTTCTGAATACACACTTCATTTGAGAAAAAAATGTGAACAGAAAATAGATACTAAATGTATTCCTGCAGAAGTCCCATTTGGTGGTGTCTCCCAAGTGGGATTAGCACCACAACACTCTCATGCGGCTGTTGCATACATGATTCAAAAAGAAAGCTGAGCCAGTGATACCACTGCGCGACTGGGCAGGTGACTCACCTGAGAGGTAGAAGGACACAATAGCGCACCAGGACGCCCAGCACCCACACCAGGGTGAGCCGCGCACTGATGTATTGGAAGTTTACATTGGTTCTTGTGAGGAGATTCCATGACACTAGCTCCTCTGAGGAGAACCTCTGGGTCACTTCATCTTCCACAATGGCTTCCAGTCCCTTCTTGGAGAAATAAAACACGTCAGACAGCTCAAAGTCCCTTCCTCGCAGACCAGAGAGCCCTTTCTCCATGGGTGACTCATCTCTTTGGATAATACCTTAAAAGAAAGCATCAGGAAATGAGAAAATGCCACAGGGCAGAACAACTGTCCAGGGGGCAATTTAAACTATGTAGGATACACAAGACAAGTGGGTAACATGAAGCCGATTTCAGAAGTGACATGCAAGCAATGGCAATGGGAAGAGAGGCTGAAATCACTGTGCCTGCATGAATGACTTTGAAGCAATACTGTATATGTATTATAGAGGAATCTTAGACCTCTACCATTCTAGAACTCACAGAAACAAACTCTCCCCAACTATAGATATAGCCTGTGTAAAAATAAAGACTTCTGTTCTCCCCTGATAAAAACCATAAAATCAGCCAGGCACTGTGACTCACGCCTGTAATCCTAGCAATTCGGGAGGCAGAGGAGGGAGAATCGCTTGTGGCCAGGAGTTCAAGACCTAGACAGCAAAGTGAGACCTTATCTCTACCAAAAAAAAAAAAAAAAAAAATAGCCAGGCATGGTGAGCCTATAGTCCCAGCCACTTAGAAGGTTGAGGAAGGAGAATCCCATGAGCCCAGGAAGTTGAGGCTACAGTGAACATGAGTGTGCCACTGTACTCAAGTTGAGGTGACAGAGCAAGACCTCAACTCAAAAAAATAGAAATACACAAAAAGCAAGCAAAACGGCAAGAGATATTTACCATAAATGGCAAAAAGTTGGCATTTGAGTATATTTAAATTATTTAATAAGAAAAACACAGGCTCCTGCAAAAAAGTAAACATACAGGCAACACAGCTAACAAATATAGTAAATGTTTTACACTAGTAATAAAATAAATGTTTATTAGGCAAACATTGGCTTATTTACATTATGAAATCAGCACATTTTTGTTTAAGGATAAAGTTTGATAACTAAAATGACACAGGTATTCTTATATGCAACTTGTACAAGTGTGAGATTATTAGCAACTTTGTCAAAATCGGCTTGGCATGAAAAGACTGAAAATGATTTTGCTTGTTGATGATCCATAATTCCAATCCTAGGACTCTATCATAAGAAAATAATTGGAAAGGTAGGCAAGGGTGTGCACTGTAGCAGTCTTTATTACAATCAATTTGGATAATGATATATAGTACATCCATTCATAAATACTCCAATAGTAAGCATAAAAAAGAATCTAAAACTATAGTTTCATCTAACTCTATGAAATATACATACATAGGAAAAACATCAAGAAGAAAACATTAAGTAATCATCTCTGGACAATGGATTCGATTTTCCTCTCTAAACTGTTATCGCATTTTTCATCAAGAAAACAATTCAAAGATTTTAAAGCAGCATAAGTTTTTATAAATTGAAAAATTATAATTATGTCATCCAATTCTAACTATAAAGTATGAATAAAAAATAAGAAAGATTTTCAAAGAACAAAAAAGCAGCTGTACACAGAGTAATCAGAATCCACCCACTCCTTTGGGGTGTGTCACAAAGAAATTTATTTCCAACATTAGGCTACAAAGAAACATTTTTTTCTCTTTTTTTTTTTTTTAATTTGAGTAGGAGTCTTACTTTGTTGCCTAGGCAGGAGTACAGTGGAACACTGCTCAAGGCCACTGCAGCCTCGATCCTTCCACCTCAGCCTTCCAAGTAGCTGGAACTAGGATCCGCACCACCACACCCAGCTACTTTTTAAATTTATTGTAGAGATGAAGTCTTGCTAAATTGCCCAGGTTGGCCTCGAACCTGTGGGCTCAGGTAATCCTCTCATTTCAGTCTCCCAAAGTGCTGGGATTATAGGCGTGAGCCACAGCGCCCAGCAGAGCAGAAACATTTTTTTCTTTTGAGGTGAAGATTAAGATGTTTAATTCCCTTAAAGAGGATCCCCTTTGATCTTCTTGCTTCCTAGTTTCCTTTCAATGAGGAAAGTGAAAAGCTCTATATTATCCGTCCTCTGGAGGAGTTATACATGCGCCAGTAGAAAGAACTATGACATTTCAGGGGTTTTTTTTGGTTTTGAGGGGGGTTTTTTTTTTTTCTGGTTTTTCAAGACCTACCAATGCACTGTAGTAGAAAGGAAAGTAGACCCGGAGTCAGAAGTCAATTTCTATTTAGGATGACCATCAGCTCCGTGACTAGTGTCTTTTATACACTGGGGAAGCAGAAAAAATTTTAGCTGACTTACAGGGTTAAATTTTATGACTTTAGGTCTGGGGTGGTGGTTTTTTGGTGTGTGTGTGTGTGTGTGTGTGTGTGTGTGTGTGTATTTCTAGGGTTGTTTTGTTTGCTTTTTCTGCACATGCAAAATTAATAACTGATACCTTAAGAGATAGAGCAATAAAAGAAACTCCTGAACAACCATGGGGTTCTTTTTCAGAATTCAAGTCTAAGTGGCTTAACCTTCTTCATCATCTCCAAAAAAAAAAAGGCTTGATTAGTATCAGAGGGGGAGTCATGAGAGTGTCTCTAGTGGAAGAACCTTTTGCTCTACAGGCACTGCAGCACCGCTCAGAGAAGGTTACCCAACCCAAGGACTGGCCAGTACTGAGCAGTGCAGGTTTCATTATTTAGCAATAGATAGATTTCTTACAGAGCAGGAGGGAAGAACAAGTGATTCAGTAAATCTCCGAAATGAAATGCACTTGGGACAGTGGACATCTAAAAATAAATTTTCAGAGGGGTCAGAAGTGAGACTGCAAGTTCAAGTTGCCCCACACAATTTAACCAAGCCAAAAGGGATCTGTAGACAGAAGCCGCACGTCAGTCTCTGCATACTGGCTGTGCAATATTTTCTCTGCCCTCTTACCCAGTTCATTCTGTGTAACTCAAATAAAGTACAAGTCCATTTATATTGTGGTTAAGCATCTTTCAAAAGCATATGGGTAACTGCAATGTATCTAGTTGGCAAAGGATTAATTTCTAGAATCTGCGAAGATGTACAAAAAGTTAATAGGAAAGTGTCAAAGAACTCTATCAAAAAGGCTAAGAATGTGGCAAGCAATTCCTGGAAGAATAGCCTTAATGACTAAGCCTTTGAAAAGATTGGTTCAGCCTCACTATAATCAGAGAAATACAAACTAAAACCACAGTGAGATACTATTCCTTTTTTTTTTTTTGAGTTGGAGTCTAACTCTGTCGCCCGACTGGAGTGCAGTGGCCACTCCTGGCCACAGCAGCCTCGACCTGCTGGGCTCCGGCGATTCTTCCACCTCAGCCTTCCAAGTAGCCAGAATTACAGGCGTGCACTACCACACCCAGCTAATTTTTTGATTTTATTGTAGAGATGAGGTCTTGCCTGCCCAGGCGGGTCTCGAACCCGCGGGCTCAGGCAATCCACTCACCTCAGCCTCCCAAAGGTACGGGATTACAGGCTGAGCCACCAAGCCTGGCTGAGATACTATTTCATTCCCATAAGATTGATACAAATTTTTAAATCAGACAATATCAAGTACTGAAGAATGGAAATGTAATTAGTACAACCAAACTGGGAAACAGTGTGACATTGCCTAGTAGATTCAAAGGCATTCAGAGCCTATAACCCAGCAATTCAACTCCCAGGTATACCTCAGGAAGGTTTTTTTTTTTTATAATTTCAAATGTACAGAAAAGTGGCAACACTAGGTCACTTTACCCAGATTCACTCATTGCCAACATTCTGCCACATTTACTACTGTTTTATCATTGTATGTATAAAAAGATATTTTTTTCTGATCACTTAGAATACATTGTGAACATCACACCCTTTGCCCCCAAATATTTCAGCATACATTCCCTTAGGAAACAGAGATTCACTTACATTAACTATACTACAACTATCAAAATCAAGATTAACATAAACACAATACAGGTATCTGATCTACAGAACTTATTCCAATTTTGACAATTGTCCCAATAATATCCTTTATAGAAAAATTTTTTTCTAGTTTAAGGTTCAGTCCAGGATCATACTTGATATTTACATGTATGAGTCTTTTAGTCTCCTTAAATCTGGAAAGTTTCTTCTACTTTCCTTTGTCTTTCAAGACACTGACATTTTTTCAAAGCACAGGTCATTTATTTAGTAGAGTATCTTTATCTAACATTCTGTCATGATTACATGCAGGGTGTACACTTTTGGCAGTGGTACTATGTAAGTAATATTGTGTTCTTCTTTGTATCCCACATCAGGAGGCACATGTTTGTACCATGACTGGTGACGTGTGTGACTTTAATCACCTGGTTTTAAGGTGATGCTTCTAAGTGTCTCCATGTAAAGTATTTTTCTCTTCATGATTAATAAGTGGCTACTTACGGGCCATTGCCTTACTAGATGCTGGTGTGGCCATGCACTCCTGGAGCTATGGTCATTGCCATGATTCCTGGCTTTGGCCCCCTCCTCTACCTTGGGGAGGTGAATCTCCTCTTTCTCTCACTCTAATTTACTTTCTAAATTTTTTTTCATTTTATAAACTAAAAATTAATAATAGTAAGTGGATACTTATTATCTACACATCTATTTATAAAGGGGAAATATTTTCAGACAATGTAATATCCTGCTCTTCATGGGTATTTAGGATATCAAACTTTGGATATTCAAACTGTCACTCACCATCTAAAGATGACTCTTGCCTGAATGCACTGGTACTATGTGTCTTTTTAAATGGTATTTTAACACTCCTTCAATCCTTCCACATTTATTACTTGACATTCCACCTTAAAAGAAGAGTTTTTCCCTTATTCTCTAGAGAGATTCTTATAAAATTGTGTGCAAGTGGGCACGCAAAGACATTCAGAGCCCATAGCAAGAACATTTTGCCACAATGTTTGATATAACAAAATAGTGGAAATAATCTAAGTTCCATTAAGGAAAGATTAGACGAATAGATGGATATATACAGTGAATATCATACAGGAGTTAAAATAAATTAACCAGAACGTTTACCAACTTAGATAATTCTCAAACATCAGAATGAACAAAATGTATGCAGAATGATATGTGGAAGACAATGTTTTTATACGGTTTGAATAATGTAAATCAAACAATGGAGGAAGCCGGGCTCAGTGGCTCAGTCTGTAATCCCG